GGTATTTAAGGCTTGGTCTGCAGCCTGGTTGACATGCAGGCTGTCCAGGTGCATTTGGGTGGGGTAGCAAGCAAGCATTGCACAGAAGCAGAATTTTGCATTTAGCTATATGTCATACATCGTTGTTCTAATATTTTCCCCACCTGGTATTTCTGAAAGGTCAGTCCCGGGATAGTTGGTACTTCCCGGTTTGTTTCTCATGGGAGTAAGTCCAGTAAGAAGTCAGTGAGTACTTTCCCATCTATCTTGGGTGTGCACCAGACTGACTTCTTTCGTTGAGGGTTTGCAACCCAGAACATTGAGGTTTGCAACCCAGAAATTTGCCAGGAGTTCACTGATATTTTTCCATTATAGCCTAGGCCTAACACCATAATGGGGCTGAATTCTGCCCGGGTTCTCCTGAGAACCTGGTTTGTGGACGTACCCAAAACGTGCCTGGATTTCCTGACCTTCTGTGCCTAGCTGTTGAAGATTCACGGTTCTCGGAGGATCAGAGTGCCCCCTGGATAATTACAAAATCTAAACTCTGGGGGATTTTGCTAGTGGAAGGTAAGCCAATTTCTTTTTTAATAGGCATGGGGCAACCTTTTCCACGCTGCCATCTTATAAAGGTCCTTTATCACAGCCAGAGATCTCGGTGATGGGTACTGATGGTAATGTTACAGCCCCTTGTTACTCCCCCTTTGTGGTGCACTTTCTGGACACTCTTTCTTGCATTCACTTCTTATTATTCCCGCATAAGTAATGTTCCCCTACTAGGTAGAGATATTTTCTCAAAATTGCAAATGACCTTGACAATTCTCGCTGGTTCCCACCTCTCACTACCCACCCTGCTCCTCTCCAACCCCTCCCCAACGACCCCTCCATCCTCTCAATCTGACCTCCCTGCAGATCCTATTTCAACACTACGCCCTTTTCCAAGTATTTCTCTTTTTTCCCTTACCTAATCCAGAAGACACCTGGTTTATTGATGGCAATTCTTTTAAGCCCATTACCCCATTGCCAAGGCAGGTTTTGCTATTGTGTCTTCTTCCGACATTATCACCTCCTTTACTCTGCCCCCAGTACTTCCTCACAACAAGCAGAACTCTTAGCCCTCACTAAAGCCTTACAACTCCACCATGCAGCCACATGGCAACAAAGGGGATTTATTACCACCCAAGTCTCCTTTATCATCAATGCCACACTCATTAAAGACCTCCTAACTGGAGCTACACTTCTAAAGGAAATTGCCATTATTCACTGTAAAGGTCACCACATTATTCCTAGATTGGTCTCCTGAGCTCTATTCAGAGCTCCAACAGCCCAGCTTTCATTAGCCACATCACCTCCCAAATCTCACGAGCCCTCAGAATTCAGTGGCACCTACATGTGCCTTGCAGACCCCAATCATCAGGAAAAGTAGAACAGGTGAATAGCATCCTTACAAAGTCACAAAATTAGTCCTCCAACACAAACAAGATTAGATTAAGCTCCTCGCCATCACCTGACTCCACTTTTGCTCCAACCCTCGCAAACCCCTCTTTGATAGCCCTTTTGAAATAATGTATTATATAACAATATACTGTAATAAAAGTTACATGAATATGGTCCCTCTCTTTGTCAGAAATCTTACTGTCTTCTACCACAGGTAACCTGAGCCACAGAAATTGAAAGTGGGAATAAAACAGGAGAACTGCGTAAAGATTTTAAGGTGAGGGGCGGCACCTGTGGCTCAGTGGGTAGGATGCCAGCCCCATATACCAAGGGTGGTGGGTTCAAACCCAGCCCCAGACAAACTGCAACAAAAAAATAGCTGGGCATTTTGGCAGGCGCCTGTAGTCCCAGCTACTTGGGAGGCTGAGGCAAGAGACTCTCCTAAGCCCAGGAGTTGGAGATTGCTGTGAGCTG